TTACTCTGTAAATAAAATTCAATAAACGTTTGAATCCTCTTGAAGCCCTAGCGTGCTTGCAGAGTGATCTGGTCTGGATACAACTATGCTGGCTCCTCTGTAGCTTGACTTGGTGCAAATAGAAATCATGGTTCTTCCTAGTTTCTTTTCTGGAGAGTGCGTTTGATCCAGGGACTCCCTTCAGCCCGGTCTTCTGAGGAAGATTTAGAACAGGGCTTCCCTGATCTTCCTGAGACTGCGGACACCTTTGGAATTTTAAGAGGGGGGCAGTGAGGACCACCCCAAAATGTCTTCTGTGGGAGGGAGAGCCAAACCCTAAGGGGCTGCCTCAGGAGGGTGGAGCCAGATGGAATACCTCCCTCTCCCCACAGCTCTTGAGAAGAAGAAAATCCTGAAAGAGGAATGGAACTGCACACTGAGGAAAGGCCCAGTTCCTTACTCGTCCTCCTCGTCCTCCAGGGGAAAGCTCTTTTACTTGATTGAGAGAAGCCAGTGACAACTCCTGCCTTACGGTGACCCCGTCCACTCTTTGAAAAGCTTGGCAGGCACCAAGGAGAGTACTGGGACAGGCACCAGGTTGGGGAGCTCTGATTTAGAGAAAGTAATTGAATCCGGGCCTCAGGCCGACATAAAGTTCAGCATCGTGGCTTCTGTGCAGGCACACATGGGATCTGCGCAGGTGCTGGCCAGCGCCTGCGCAGATCCCCATGTGTGCCTGCACAGAAGACCACTCGATGAACAGCAGTTACAGGTAAGTGCAACCCTGTTTTAGGGGTGCTCGCAGGGCTAATTTGGGAAATTACAAAGGCCCATGAGCGTGGCAGGTCGTGTGGCCCCGGTAGAGGTATAAACCGATGCTGCAGGGCCAGAGGCCCCATTGATGGGCACCAGCTTCCCTGTTGCTCAGGGAACAGTGAGCCCGCACCCATTGCTGGTGCCAGTGGCCAGGTCTGAGCTTCGTGACCCCTCCCATGCTTGGCACAGCTACTGGGGCTTGACCCTGTTTGCTCCTGGCTATCGGCAGCCTGGGGCCCAGTGGAACTTTCCCCAGGCTGCCCCTCAAGGCTGTTGACAGAGATGAATTAGCGTGGCTAATTCTGTGCTTGATGGTGACCAAGATGCAGCTTTGGCATTCTAGACATCTTTGGGTTGCTTAAGTCACGGGCTGGAGACAAGCCTGGGATTTTTTTTATTTCTGACAAAGCTATTCGATCCATTCCCCACCGTACAAACGTTATGCTTGGTCTTTCAGAGGGGCAGTACATTTAACTTGGAGCGTATCCGTTTCTGGATCTGCCACTTTACAGATTTCTAGTCACCTGCTCCAGATTATAGGCGAAACCTATTTCCCGTTTAGGGAAATATAAGGCAGCTCTGTGCCAGTCGACTTGGAACACAAGTAGACCGAATCACAGAATAGTGCAATGTTCCCTCTACGTTGTGCAGTCTTGTGAGCAAAAATTCTACTTTGTGAGCTGCTGGCATTAAAGTTGTGAGCAAATGATTTGGCTACTGCATAAATTAGCTTGCTCTGGAGCCATCCTCCCTGAGCTAAGACAAAAATCTGTGAGCTGGAGGCTAAAATTCTGTGAGCTAGCTCACACTAACTCAGCTTAGAGGGAACACTGGTGATAGTGGAAAAGAGCAAGCGTCCAGGAGCACTTTAAAGACTTAACAAAATTTGTGGCCGGACGTGGACTTTCGTGAGTCACGGCTCACTTCTTCAGGTATCTGAAGTGAGCAGTATTTGAAGAAGTGAGCGGTGACTCACGAAAGCGCATGCCCGGCCACAAATTTAGTTAGTCTTCCTGGTGCTGCTGGACTCTTGCTCTTTTCTACTGTTACAGACGGACTAACACAGTGACCCATCTTGATCTGTCTCCAGAACAGTGATAATTTATGGCAGCTGGCATCACTAGGCCTCAATTTGCCAGCCTTGTTTTGGGTGGGTGGAGCTGGCAAAGAACAAGTGAGGTTTCTACAGGAAGGAGGGACATGGGGGGACATATGGGGGGTGGGGGGGAAGAAGGCATAATGGAGGCCAGGGAGGAAAGGGAGCTATGCAAAAGAATGCAGTGCGTCGGAGGATATGGCCACTGTACTCTGCACCTTGCAGAGTTGGAGTCACGGGTCTTGTGTCTTGCCTCCTGGGAAGCTCAGGGCCAAACTAGACATGACATCTGCCACAAGGTGGGTTGGGGCTCCCCAACTGACTCACCGGCAGATCTGATGTTTAGAGAACTAACATTTTCAAGTGTTCTGAGGCTTGATTTGGTCCAGGGGTGCAGCATGGCAAGAGGAAGGGGTCTCAGCCTTCCCTCCTGCGCCATTTCCCCAAGCCGAAATGCCCCAATGTGGGGCTTTATGTGACCCTTCCCCTCCCCTGCCTCGTGGACACTTTGTTTCAGGTGGTATGGAAGAGAAGGCTGAGCCCCTCCTCAGAGGCAGATGCGATGCTGGGAGAACTAACATTTCCAAGTGCTCCGAGCCTCAGCTTGGTTCCCTCCTGCACCATTTCCCCTAGCTGAAACGGCTGCAAAGGAGGCCCTGTTTGCCCCAGTGACACAAATGAAGCTGCTTTATACTGAATTGGCCCATCGGTCCCTCGTGGTCAGTACTGTCTGCTTAGACTGGCTTAGTGGTCAGACTGTCTGCTTAGACTGCTTAGACTGGCTTTCAAGGGTATCAGACTGAGGTCTTCCACGTCCCCTTTTGCCTGGTCCTTTTCAACTGGAGATGCCCCCGGGGATTGAACCTGGGACCTTCTGCATGCCGAGCCGATGCTCTACCACTGAGCCACACAGCCCTGCCCTTTCTTCCCGCCATAGCTACTCTGGCTCATGAAAATGATATGGAAAAGAAGGCTGAACCTCTCCTATACCAGTGCTGGTCTCTTGAGCCAAATCGAGTCCAAGCACACTTGGGAGAATTGCTCCCTGCCACCACTGTCAGGATGCGGGTATTCCCTAGGAGAGTTGTTGTTGTTGTTGTTGTTATATTTATACCCCGCCCATCCTGCAAACAGGCTCAGGGCGGCTCACAAAAGCGGTTGCGCGTCTGCGGGAGAACGTAGGGTACTGGAATGGAGGACCGAAACATCACTAGCCTCAGAGCATAGGCAAGAGCCCCCTGAGCCAGGCGCTCTTCCCTATTTATCAGAGTGAAAAACCTTGGGACAGTGTTACTTCACCGCTGTTCCCCAGTCCTTGTTGCACTCCGATTTCATCCTCCCCGGCTGTGTGTATCTCTCCTCTTTATTCCCACTCAACCCGTCCCCCAGCTTAAAGCAACAGGGCCACTGATCTATGGCGTTCTGCCTCCCGTCTGTCGGGACCGCCTCCTCATCTCCTTCCTTTGCCTCCTCGGTTTGTCATGGAGATTTGTTCGATGGGTCTTCGTCTGAGGTCGTTGTTGACTCTTTGCACCTGTCCTCTGAAGCCGGGGAGAAGATCAGACCTGGCAACCCTATTCCTGAGCTAAGACAAAAATGTATGAGCCGGAGGCTAAAAAATTGTGAGCTAGCTCACACTAACTCAGCTTAGAGGGAACACTACATTCTATCCTTCTTCGTCAGCTCAGATACGGAGCTGGAGGAGTAGTCGTATGGTGGTCTGGGTCTTTTCCGTCACCAAAGTCTTTGCCAGAGGAGCAGAATCAGTGGCTTGGGTATTTGTCCCATGGAATGCCTCAGGGTTCCATTCTGCCATCTAGACCATTACGATATTTTTATGAGACAGCCGCACAAGATGGCCTGGAGCTTTGGTGCCGGGACTTCCTTAATATGCAGATGATACCCAGTTCTATATCCCATTAAGTAAGCCGCCAGAGGTATCCATCTTGGCTTTGAGGCGGTGGTCCAGTGGCTAAGGCCGGAGCTGAATCCAGACAAGACTGAGGTAATGCTGGTCAGGAAGGCTGATGCTTTGGAGGGACTGGATCTCTTTCTGCCAGAGCTCCCTCAGCCAAAGCATGGTTGATCATGAACATACAGCTCCCTCAGCCCCACCTACATCACGGGGTGCCTGTTGTGGGGAGGGGAAGGGAAAGGAGTTTGTAAGCCGCTCTGAGAATCCCTTGGGTAGTGACGGGCGGGATATAAATCCAATCTCTCTTCTTTCTCCTCCTCCTCTGAGAATCCCTTGGGTAGTGACGGGTGGGTATAAATCCAATCTCTTATCTTCTTCAATCAGCTGCATCTGGTTCCCCAACTCTCTCCTCTCTTAGACTTGACTAGTCTGGCCGTGCTGGAGCATACTTTTGTAACTTTGTGGTTGGGTTACTGTGTCAGCGCTAGCAGCTGGTTTTCTTTTTTAGGGAGTGCGGAATATGGCCCTTCCAATCCACTTCAGGGGTTGCTTGCCAGTGCATCTTGCCATTTCACACAGTTAATCCCAGCTGCAAAGTGCATTGAAAGTGGATTCGGTGTGTGTGAGCCCTCCCTGGAGTGTAAAGGCATTTAGGGAGGGTGTTTATTGTACCTTGGAGATGGCCATCTGGCAGCAATGCTGATTCTGTGAACTGAGGCAAATCATGAGAAGCAGGGCAGGAAGGCCTGCATCACTGTTTAGTTCTCATGGTCCTTTCTTGCACACCCAGGGAAATGCTGATCGCCACATTGGTGTCAGGAAGCAATTTTTCTCCAGGCCAGTTTAGCTGGAGATCCTGGAGGTTTTTTGTCATCTTCTGGACATGGAACAGGGGTCACTGGGGGTGGGGGATGGGAGGTAGTTGTGAATTTCCTGCGTTGTGCAAGGGGTTGGACTAGGTGACCCTGGAGGTCCCTTCCAACTCTATATTTTAGATTTGAGCCAAAAGGGGGGAAGTTGGGCCCATATATATTTAAATAATTGTCCATAGGATCCGATTGCTGCGACTCGTTTTTCATCGTTGCCTTCCTAATTCCAGTTTTAGATTCTGCCGGGGGGGGGAGGCGGGCAGTCCTCAAGCAATCGTTTCATACCCCTTTTTGTGGTGTTGGGGGAATTTGTTTCTCTCTGCAGTGGAGGACCTGGAGCGCAACGACGGCTCTGCCGAGAAGCCTTACTTCATGTCATCTAATTTGAAAAAGCTCCTGAAGAAGACGAACAAGCGCCAACCTGAAGCGTGACAGGCCTTCCCTCTTCTCTGCCCGCGTGGGTAGCCTACAGTAGGCACGCTGTTTAGACAAACAACATGGCCGCTCTGTCAGGCCGTCTTTTGAAGAGCAAGACCTTTGGAGTCAGAATGTTCCGTTTCTGCTTCCTGCGCCAGACAAACATAGCCTGCCCAGATTTGACTTGGGTTTTGGTTGTCGTTGTTATTTTGCTTTTCTTTTTCATGCTGTGTGGGGTGGTTGAAGCGATCCTGTTGTGCAGCAATAGCTCCATCTTGAGGTTTAACAGTGGTAGAGCAAATTGAACTCTGGTGTACCTTTCCGCTGCTGCTTCGCTCAAAGTCATTCGCTCTTGCCCGCCCACCCCCCAGGCAAATACTTTTCTTGCTTGCCAATGTAGGCTGAAGGCAGACATATATAAGGGACAAAGCTGCTGTGAGGCCTACGCATCACCATTGTGCTGATGTCCAACAAGGGGGAAGTCTGTTGTGGGTTAGAGCAGAAACCAGGTTTGAACCAGAGGTCATTTCGGGGGGGAACGCCAGTTCCCATGGGTGAGGTGCAGGGGGGCGGGGCACATGACGAAGCCCCGCCCCCTGCTTCCGGCCACCCCGCTTCCAGCCCTCATTCAGCCAGGAGGAGGCAGGAGAAGAGGGAGGGTAAGTTGCTTCCTCCCCGCCTCTCCCCACCCCTGCCTGCCTGGGGCCAGGGAGGGCCTTGGCGAGGCTTTCTCGCACTCCCGCTGGCCTTGCAGGTCCACCGCCGGGCCCCTGATGTCAGGGGGTGTGGCATATGCTAATGACTTATGCTAATGAGTTCCCCTAGCTCTTTTTCTACAAAATGACCCCTGGTTTGAACAGCACGGGTTCAGCCTATCAGAGCTGAGTTCGCATTTTAACAGGGCTGCCAAGTGTGTGTGTTTTCTTCGATTCACAGACTGTGTTCGTGTGGGCTGAGAAGTGAATTGGGGCTGAGGGCAGTGGATCTTGTTCCACAGCTAAAAAACTGACACACTTTTCTCCGAAGATGTCTGCCTTTTCCTGCAAACAGAGCTGTTTGTCATGCCCATGCCAGTTGTAAAGCTCACACTAGGATGCAGTCCGTGAGCCGGCTGAGCCGGCTTAGTGCCATTTATTTCCTTGGTGAGCCCTAAACTGCCCTAAATCCAAGCATTCACACTTCACTGGTTTATGGGTTGCAAGCCGAAACTGATACCAGAATGCATCGTCGCGGAAGTTTTATCATGATGGGAATTGTCATCTTTTAACCTAGCGCTACTGGAAATATTATTAGGCAACAAGGGAGCGCCAGGTATTTACAGAAGTTTAAAAGTGTGTGATTGTATAGTGTATGTCATTTGTAGCTTTCCTAAAAGAAAATTGTAATGTTGCCAATCTATATTTTAAGTTTGCTTTAGATAAACTATTTTTCATGTACCCCGTATATGTTGCAAAAATGTTTTATCTGAAATATTAAAACAATTTTATATGTCTTTGTTTCTCGCTCAGGGTGAAGTGACTCTGATATAGCTATTAATATAGTATAATTTAGCTTTAGAGACTGAGATACCTACTCATGGCCTGGGTCCCCTGGTCCAGAAGTCTTGCAGATCTCCCAACAAGTGCAAGGAAGATGTTCTCCCATCAACAGTCTGGAAGGCTTCAAAGAAAACCTATGAGTTTTACAAAGAAATTACTTGCTTTGACTGAAAATCTGGGCCCCTTTCAGACAGCCCTTGTAGTCCATTTTGGTAGCTGGTCGCTAACATATTTTTGTGTCATTTCAGACACAACCATCTTAGCAACCGGCTGCTAACGGATTTTATTTACCTTTTCATACAAAGCCACTTGTGTCCAGTCAGTGAAGCGTGGTTCATGAGATAAAGTGCTTTCTTCTGTTTTCACCTCTTCTTTGCCCTTCTGAATTGCCGTAATGTGCTGTTAAAAAAGTCTGCAGCGCTACCAATAGCAGTATAGCGCTCGACTTAAAATGTTCAAAAAAAAATAGCCAGATCGCTTCAGAGATGGCTCATTAACGGAATTAAATTCACTGTATGAAACCTCCCATCCCTGTATAAGAACATAAGAGAAGCCAATGTTGGATCAGGCCAGTGGCCCATCCAGTCCAACACTCTGGGTCACACAGTGGCCAAAAATACCAGGTGCCTTCAGGAGGTCCACCAGTGGGGCCGGGACACTCGAAGCCCTCCCACTGTTGACCCCCCCAAACACCAAGAAGACAGAGCATCCCTTGCCCCAGACCGAGAGTTCCTACCTATACCTTGTGGCTAGTAGACACTGATGGACCTCTATACCTTTAGCTGAAACTGGGCCAACAATGGATAACATCCGATTCAAAATGGTAATGTGAAAGGGAGCCTAATCTGTAGTCCTTTCTTCAAAAACAATTTATTAGGATATATTATTAGTTCACATACACAGCATATTATTATTTGTCATACATCCTTTCTTCTCTTTCCCCCTTCCGTAGTCCTTAGAAACTGCTGGAAGTGGGAGGTGCTTCAACGGGAATGTATGACCCAGCTGAGGCACCCTTCCCAGGGGGGACCGACCAATCCGCACCCCCTTGCTCACCCCTCTCTTCTGCCTACCACCTGTTTACTCTTGTCGTCAACCTGGTTTGGGGATTTTCTTATGACTTCCCTATCCCTTCTAATTCATTGTGCGGTGCTGGGAGAAGCATCGGCTACAGGAAATACGCATACCTGTGTGAACCTCCCTCTAAACATCTTAAGCAAGGGAGAGATGTACTGAAGCATATGGTGATCCACGGGATGAGAACTAGAGGAACCAGAATCAGAGGAAGCTTGCTCAATATGAGGGCCCCTTTGGCATGCTGACATGGCGAGGCGGGCACAGCCACAAAATGGCTGGCACAGTTTACCTTCTGTCACACAATGAAGACCCTTGTGCTGTGACGGCAGCTGTTACCAAAGCAACGTTTTTAAGGATCTGCACAGCCAATCAAATCTCCAGTGGCCAATCAGAAGCCTGGCCGGTGATGGAGAAATTTGGCTTCAATCAAAAAGGTCCAAATAAGTAAAACTATCTTCAGTAGAAGCAGAGTCTTTATTCAGTTGGCTATGGTCGAGGAAGGTGCCCCTACAAAAGTTCAAGTTGCTGACAACTTGTGCAACCTGTCCAACGAAACAACCTACAGGAAGGAAACTAGAGTATTTGGTCCCTGGCAGTGTTCCCTCTAAGCTGAGTTAGTGTGAGCTAGCTCACAGTTTTTTAGCCTCTGGCTCACACATTTTTGTCTTAGCTCAGGAAGGATGGCTCCAGAGCAAACTAATGTATGCAGTAGCCAAATGGCTCGCTCACAACTTTAATGCCAGTAGCTCACCAAGTAGAATTTTTGCTCACAGGACTCCACAGTTTAGAGGGAACATTGGTCCCTGGTGTTATCTGACATGATAGCATCATGTCAAATAGTCTAGAGCAGGGCTGTCGAACTCATTTGTTATGAGGGCCGGATCTGACATACATGAGACCTTGTTGGGCCGGGCCACGTGTGTCATAAAAGGTAATGCCAGGTGGTGGAGATATAAACTTTATAAAGGACACAAACACAAAGGGTGGCTTTTTTTACTCAAAATAAAAACATGCTTAAAACATTAGCACTCTTGCAATATTTTGTTTATTTAACAGTGTCTGATAACTGACTTCTCTTGCTCTGAATTATTGCATCAGAATGTCTGTGCTGTTGCAATCTTGAGTATGCTGTTCAGGTATGTATCTGTAAGCTGCAAACCTACGATGACGCAGCAGCAGCAGAACTGGAAGCAGCAGCAGCAGAAGACAGCCAGTTCCACTGCGGGCCTGACAGAAGCCCTTCTGGGGGCCTGATCCAGCCCCCCGAGCTGCATGTGTTTTTTAAATATTTTTTTAATTGCTTTTATACTACACACTACATAGAAACAAAGGGTGGGTATACACTAACAAACCTACAGGTGATAGGACAGCATTACTAAAAGAAAGGCTAACAGGACTTATATATATATTGCTGATAATAAACGCTTATTCAAGTTTCTCATAATAAATCATACATGAATAAAGCTTTTCAGATTTTAACATTTAAGAAAAGATTAAAGTATAAGTATTTGCTGCGGTGGCTCAAGTGGTTAAGACGCTGAACTGCAGGCTGTGGAAGGTCGAGACCCGGGTGCCGTATGACGGAGTGAGCTCCCGTCTCTAGTTCCAGCTCCTGCCAACCTAGCAGTTCGAAAGCAAGAAATTGCAAGTAGAGAAATAGGTACCACTTTGGTGGGAAGGTAACAGCGTTCCGTGTGCCTTGGTGTTTAGTCATGCCGGCCACATGACCACGGAGTCGTCTTCGGACAGCGCTGGCTCTTCGGCTTTGAAACGGAGATGAGCACCGCAACCCTAGAGTCGGATTCGACTGGCTTTTGAGCAAGGGAAGCTTTACCTATTTGCTCTGAGCAAGTTATTTATCCCTTCAAGTACTTATATATCTCAGTTGTATTCTCTTCTTGTTTCTTCTTCCATTCTTTTAATCTTTATCAAAGTCAGTTTTCCCTCTGGGTAACTTGGGTGCAGCTTCTCCGAGTTCTGATGGGGAATCTTTTTCAGATGAACTGGTAGTATGCGATCCTGAACTTCTCGAACCACGTGAGCTGTATTCTCCTTCTTCTTGATGACTCTTCTCTTCTTTTGTTATTGTTTCCTTTGGTAATCCTTGAACCTTCTCCAAAAATCGTTTTGCTTTGTCAACAGAGTGAATCTTTTCTTTTAAGTCCTTGTACTTGAATGTTAATCCTTCCGGTAAAAGCCATCTGTAGTTTATTGATTTCTTTTGTAAAAATGCAGTTAAATCTTTTTAATACCTTCGCTTCTTTCTGATTTCAAATGGTACATCCTTTAAAACTCTTATTTCTGAATCTTTGATCTTCATGATGTTTCCATAGTAGCTTTAAAAACCGTGTCTCTTGTAGACCTTTTCGAGAATCTGACCATAATTTCCCCAGGCAGGTTTTTCTTCTTTATATATTTGGGGTTCCGTGCGCCTTGGTGTTTAGTCATGCCGGCCACATGACCACGGAAACATCTTCGGACAGCGCTGGCTCTTCGGCTTTGAAACGGAGATGAGCACCGCAACCCTAGAGTCGGATTCGACTGGCTTTCGAGCAAGAGAACCTTTACCTTTACCTTTTTATATTTGGGGTATGACCTATAGACCACATCCAGATTGCTTAATAAATAAATAAAATAAATAATAAATTCGATCCTTGTTTTTTTGAGATCGAGAAGACGCGGGGGAAATCAGGGGGAGCTGCAGGTCAAAATGCAGCCACGCAGCAAATAGTCTGAAATTGACCAATGCAAGTGGGGGAAACAGAAGAGCCAGGGCGGCACAGCTGCTTGTGGGGAATCGGTCAGAGTGCTGGACTAGATGGGGATTTCCCTGATCCAACACGGCTTCTGTTATTTATTTATTTATTATTTCAACTTGATATACCGCCCTAACCCCCGTAG